CGCGTTTCAGAAAGGCGGGGCATAGAGGAGAAACAATAATGTACAGTATGTGGAAAATAATGTGTTTTTTTAACCTTAAACCGCATAAACACATTTCATTACACCAAATACACCAAATAATGTTCTTTTTAGCAGCATCATATGACCCCTTTAAGTTCAAGCCTCAGGCTGCAGACTAACTTGCCTTTTAAGGCACAGGGAGCGGAGTAACATAACAGGATCTTGAAATGTTTGTTTTTAGTGACCTATTTAGAGAGAATAATATCTCTGGTCACTGTAAATCAAACTGTGTAATGTTCTGTTTGTATATACTTAGTTTTTCTTTGTTTTGCAGGTGGTGTTTGAACACGAGGGAGTCTTTATTCACTCATCTCCAGATGAATCTGAGGACCAGGATTTAATATCGGGATTCCTCAGGATTGTTGATAAGGTTTGGTTTTTGTCAGTTGTTTTTTTTGTTGTTGCTTATAATAATATTTGGATTTAACAGGCTTGTTGTTTTAGAATTATCATGAGATACCTGAACTGGGTCAATGTGACATACATGAGATGTTTTACCACATTCTTGTGTCATTGTTTGGAAAGCTAATACGCTAGTACCATTCAAAAATGTAGGTTTGGTAAGATTTTTAAAATGTTTTTTTTTTTAATTCTGTCATCATTTACTCACCCTCAAGTTGTTCCAAACCTGTATGAGTTTCTTACAGCTGTTGAACACAAACGAAGATATTCTGAAGAATGTTGGTAACCGAACATTTGACGGTAGCCATTGACTTCCACAGTATGGAAAAAATGGCTATAATACTATGGAAGTCAATGGCTACCGTCAACTGTTTGGTTACCCACATTCTTCAAAATATCTTCTTTTTCAGAATTTTCTTTTTTGGGTGGACTATGCCTTTAAGAAGGAAATCTTTTGTAACATTATAAATGTATTTACTATCACTTCTGATCAATTTAATGCTTCCTTGCTGAATAAAAGTATGAATTTCTTTCAAAAAATGTCTTACCCAAAAACTTTTAAACAGTAGTGTATGTATTTAAGAAAATCCCACCTTGCTGTTGAAACATCTGTAAAATCACAGCCATCTGTCAGTATCTCCCAATATCTTATTTTTTTCTTCTTTAACTGTAGGATGGTGAAACCCTTGTGGAATATAAACCACTGGAGGATGCAGATCCCTCAAACATGCTGTGTGCCTGCAAGGTTTGTTAGATCATTCATAAATTATGCATATCCTGTTTCATCTGTGGGATTTTGCATATTTATGTTGACTGAGAGTTCAAAACACTCCTGCAGTTCTTCTGTGCTCTGTACTGGTATTTTATAATTCTGAATAGTTCTGGATTAGGATATCCTGATTTTGGTTCGTTTGATTGTGTGAAGGACTCCAGCTCAGTGGTGGAATGGACTCAGAGTTCAGAAGGCAACCCTCACCGTCCAATTGACCATCAGCTGAGCTATGAAACAGAGTGGGACATGATCAATGCTGTCTCATTCCGGAGAAAAGTCCACACACATGGAGATGGTAAACAATTGCTCTTCTATGAGTCAAATGTGGTTGATATCATTTAAAAATCAAAATTATTGTCACCATGCACTTTACCCAGTACCTAACAGAAAATGTCAGCATGTTATCTCATGCATCAGTCAGTGAATTATGTGTCTGGTCCTGTTTTTCCAAAACCAGAAGATGGAAATCTGTAACAGTAACTTAGCTTATTATTTATTGTCATATTGTCACAGGTGGATCAAACCACGCAAATGACCGGAACAAGTGGGCCTTCTCTTTTAATGTGTGTGACCTCAGGTCTATCACAGTCAAATGTGAGGGCTGGTCATACATCACTTTCCGCTTGAAGGATGGCACAGCACTGCCAGCTATTCATTTCCACCAGGGAGGGAACACAGCATTCCTGGATAGCCTGAGGAAATCAGTTCAGATCAACGAGTAAGTGAAGTGTCAGGGGTTGTTTTAGTGTAAATAGGTCAGGCTTAATCTGTGGCTCAGCTGTAGACAAATATTGTGCAATATCTATTTCAATATCATTCTATTGATTAGGGATGTGAACGGTTTGCCAATGCTGTTTTTTATTGCAGCATTAGTCCAGTAGAGTGTAGTCATGAGTTACAGACATTTTATAAATGATTTTGAATACATTATAAGCAGTGCTGCACAGAGCCTGGCACTCTTATTTAATGTTTTCTGTGCATGTTGTGGGGTAAGATCCACAAAATCATTTTAAATTTGGGTTAAATTATAAAAAAAATAAAAAAAAACAATACCCAGATTTGGGGCCAGATTTGCTAACCGCTTACACCAACTTATACCCTTTTTATTTATGGGAGGAGAGTAGGGATGTAACGATTAACTGCGAGCCGGTCGAAAATCGATTCAAATATGTGATGATTCAAATCGGTTGAGATGCCAAACAATTCGCGATACAATTGGAGTAGGAGTTTATATGAATGTATCTCTGAGGGGAACTGACTATCTTTAGAACAATGAACAATGTTTAGAACAACCTCTGAACAATGCATATTAAAGTAGCATTCATAAGCACAGCTCTGCTTTGTTTACAGCGGTAACCCAGGAAACGCTGTATCATTGCTGTTCATAAGCGCCTCCTGCTGTCAGAGAGTGAATCTGCGTCTCATTCAGCTCATCTGCTGTTTCGTTCACATATGTTTTATGTAGTATAGTTTCACAAAACTAAAGTCAGGCCATTCTGTTTTTGCTTCAAATTTCGATTAAAAACTACTCATGCTGCATCTTTGTTTGGATCATGATTAAAATCCAGTGGTTGCCTCTAATTTTAAATGGAAAGAGCACAGACAAAGCCTTAGTTTGTTCATATTAAGAGATTTCTTTTATTTGTGTAACTTGTTTGATTTGGGGTTTGTTTTAAAATTTAAATTGTTTTGTTATATTTCAATTTCACAGAGAAATGTGCAGCAATAGCCTAATAAAACGACACCTTTTCATTTACTTTGTCTTCAATCTCATTTTGTAAAAAAAAAAAACCCGTGAGAAAATCGAATTGTGAAATCAAAATCGTGAATCGAATCATGAGTTGAGTGAATCGTTACATCCCTAGAGGAGAGTATTTAAATGAGTCATACAAGAGGATTTACTAAGGTTTGCGGTAGTCAGTTTACGACCATTTATTTAAACACCAAAAAATGTCATGTATTAATATGTTAATCCATCAATCCAGTGTTGTTAGTAGATTATACGCTTCATTCCCCTTCCACTACGTAAGGAAAGCTACAACAGTTGAGTGCATGAAGTGGCCAACATTCAACACTTTTGGGTTCATCTGAGTATTTTTGCACTTTTTCTTTTTTGGAATTTTCAGTGTGAATGTATTATTCACACTATGAATACTAAAAAAAAAAAGGCATGGAAAAGTGTGCATTTTTGTTTCTGGAAGCATTAATAAGTATATTTGCTTTTAAAAATTCATGTGTACTTTCAGACGTCTTCCTCAGAATGAATATGGCTTAATTATTTAAAATTTATCTTAAAAGTGACCCCCTGACCTTTTAATTCACTAAATACCACAGGCACTAAGATTACTCTCTCTGACTCACGTAATTCTTCACCCAAGTACTTTATCCTTTAAAACAGAACACATCAAACTGTAACCCAATCTGCATGCATACCTTTGAGGAAGTCTAGCATGTGTTCTGAGGCGAGAGGCCGTGAGCGTGATTCATGTAAGGTCGAACAGCAGCTGTTCGTTTAGAGTTAAGGCTTTATGAAAGGGACAGGAAGACACTCCTCTCCCCTGCGTTAAATATCATACCAGATTAAATCCGCCAGTAACCATGCTGAATTCAGCACTGCCGAGGAAAAGATAACTGTTATTAAAGTTCTTATCTGAGTCTACATAATGAAACATAGACTTGGCTTTGTGTGCTCGGCTTCTCCCGTCATTCAAACCACAGTGATATGGCTAGTGATGTCATATGTTTACAATTCGACTACTTGTTGTTATGTGTACTCTTAAAATTATTGATGGTATTACTTTATTAAGACTAAAGAGTGAATCTTACTATCGTTGTTTCTGTCTTTCAAAGGAGTCCCGATGATGAAAGTGTCTTGATTGTCAGCACCTACAGCAAAGCCTTCTCACAGTCCTTTGAGAATCTTCTGGATGATACAAACTATGGCTTGGTACAGGTTTGTGATTTAAAAGGGGAATCATACTAGTAACCTTCCACGAATTGAGCTTTGATGTAAAAATATTCATTTATGTGATTGAAAGTAGTCTTCACTGTATTATCTCACTCTCCAACCAGAAATTCAAGAAAGATCCTTATACAACAACGCTGGGTGGCTTCTCCAAAGTCACAAACTACCTCTTTGACGCATTTCGGGTGCCTGAATTAGAATGTCACCAGCGGCCTGCCGAGGAGGTAGCAGATTTGTTGGGAGAACTCATTCCTGGACTAGAGATTAACCAGCAGGAAGAGCCTGGATTTGAAGTCATCACCAGAGTGAGTGCAGATCTAATGCCAGGCCAAACTCTGACTCTGGGTCTAGACACAGACAGTCGACATGAGGAATCCTGTACAAAACATACTGTTACCGCGAGTTTTCAAAAGCGCGATAATCAAACACGGTTTTGATGATAATTAAATTTTAAACGGTAATACTAACCATCAGGGCATTTTATCGTGATTTATCGTGAAACCGGTTATCGTTCCATCCCTAGTTCAAACTCAGCAACTTGATTTGGAAATGAGACAAATCTGAATCTGACACAAGCTGTTGTAGTGTCCCATTTTTCCTGTGACTTCTTGTCCACCTGCTTTCAGTTATACCAGAACTGTTTATACATGTATAGTAGACCTGTTTTTAAATATTTCAGAGAATGTAGCTTATCAATTCTGCTGATTTAATCGCAACAGGGTCTTTGCCATGCGGTGAGGAGGGAGGCTTGGAAGTTTTTGCTCGGCTATTTTCCATGGAACAGCACTCATGAAGAAAGGAAGCTCCTGCAAAAGAGAAAAACGTATGCATGTTTCCCTCAGAGAAATGATATAAAGCTCTCTTCTTATCAGATTAAGCATACATAAGATCATGTGTTTTCCCCTCAACAGTGACGAATACTTCAGAATGAAGCTTCAGTGGAAGTCAGTAAGCGAGGAGCAAGAAAGAAGAAACTCAAGGTTACGAGATTATAGGAGCCTTATTGGTGTGTATATAATTACATTGCAAGTTTTATTCTTTAGCTGTTTTAAAAATGTTTTCAAAATATTCACCTTTTCATTACCTGAATGAAGCTCAGTTTGTGGTTGTTGAATCTTTTTAGAAAAAGATGTGAACCGAACTGACCGAAATAACAAATTTTACGAAGGCCTGGACAACCCTGGCTTGATATTACTACATGACATCCTGATGACATACTGCATGTTTGACTTTGATTTAGGCAAGTGACTACATTTGTTTGAATCATCATTTAGTGATTCTCTTCATAAGAACTACTGTATACCACTGTAAAAAAAAAAAATGATGTAATCTACTGTTATGTATACGCCCATGCTGATATCTCCCATGCTGGTATCTTGTAAAATCCTTTAGTTAATGTCAGTGTGATTTTAATTGCACATTCAGTTATTTATATTATGGATAATCTTAAGTGCTTTTCAGTGTAGCGTTGCTTGTATTTACCTAGTTTCCTGTTCCTGTGCAGGATATGTGCAGGGCATGAGTGATCTGCTCTCTCCCATCCTCTTTGTGATGGAGAATGAAGTGGATGCCTTCTGGTGCTTTGTTTCCTTCATGGATGAAATGGTAATACAGTGTGTTCATTACAGAACATCTCTCTTTAGCACTCTTGGGTTTGCTGTGCATGAGAAGCTGTAACACTCATGTTTGTTACAGCATGAAAACTTTGAAGAGCAGATGCAGGGGATGAAGACCCAACTAATCCAACTCAGCACTTTGCTTCGGCTGCTAGACCTGGCCTTCTGGAACTACCTAGGTAAGATACCCCAAGGAAGACTTATTGGAAATAGTCTTTTTCCTTAATGTTGATTTCACAGGATTCTGTGACCATAAGTAGCCATTGTGTACATTTCTGTGTTTATGTGGTTTTACAGAGGCGCAGGATTCTGGGTACTTGTATTTCTGTTTTCGCTGGTTATTGATCCGATTCAAGAGAGAGCTGCATTTTCAGGACGTCCTGCGCCTTTGGGAGGTGTGTAATAACTAATTTAATATTAATTAAATTAGTTATTAATACTCTTTAAATTTAATAATATTAAAAAGATTCATAATCTTTTTTTATTTTTTATTGGCCATCTGTACCATTTCTCAGTACACTGTAGCCATTGTCTGTGATAATTTTGATTATACTTGATTAAGTGTTATATTGGCATTTGATGTCATATTTTATTTTATTCAACTATTTTCTCCTTCAGATCATGTGGACCAGACTACCTTGCCAAAACTTTCACCTTCTGGTGTGCTGTGCCATTTTAGACTCAGAGAAACAAAAAATTATGGACAGAAAATATGGATTCAATGAAATCCTAAAGGTTAGCATTAACTGTATATCATACAATACCATTCAAAGTTTTTTTCTTTTAATTAAAATTTGTACATTTTGAATTAATACTTTTATTTAGCAAGGATGCATTAACAGTAAAGAACTTTTATAATGTTATAAAAAAAATCTATTTCAAATAAATGCTGAAAAGAAAATTATTACGGTTTCCAACAAATACTACTACATAGCACAACTGTTTTTAACATTGATAATAATAATAATAAATGTTTTTTAATCACCAAATCAGCTTATTAGAATGAGTTCTAAAGGATCATGTGACACTGAAGACTGGAGTAATGATTCTGAAAATGAAGCTTTGCCATCAACTACTAATAAACTACATTTTAAAATATATTCAAATAGAAAACAGTTATTTCATAATGTAATAATATTTCATATTACTACAGTTTTTACTGTATTTTTGATCAAATAAATGCATCCTTGATGAGCAATAGAGACTTCTATGAAAACATTAACAAAACCATATAGACCCCAAATGTTTGAACAGTAATGTATGTTATCTACATTTTATAACATACATAAATCAGCTTGTGTTCACCTATTATGTTTTCTTCACAGCATATAAATGAACTCTCCATGAAACTGGACATCGAAGAAATCCTTAGCAAATCTGAAGCTATCTGCATGCAGATAAAGAATTGTAAGGTATGTCCTAAGCATGATTGCAGATATTGGGGTATGTGATCTATAACACATTTTTCTCAGTAATATGTGATTATTTCATCCCATTAATACAAGTTTTGAATCTCTTCCGATATCCTCTAAGGACTTGCCCCATTCAGTGAGTGAGATTCTGGGTCTCAACACAGTCACTGAACCCTCTGCAGCATTAGAAACCAGTGAATATGGAATACTTGAGTCACCTCAGACCTCACCAAGATCCACACACAGACAAGATCACATCATCTCCAACGGCCACAGCCACTTAAAAGAATCAACACACAATGGCTGCAAAGTAGCCTTCATTTCCTAGTGTATAGCACTACAAGATGTATAGTACAGATTTTATAGCCCCTGTATTCCAGCAAGATGAACAGTATTGGGTGTCATGTAGATATTTGCTACCAAATGCCACATTGTAAAATATGCCAGAGAAAATATATGAACGTAAAACAAGGATTCAAAGGGATCCCTAAAGCATTATTTTTGTAAAATCTTGTACCATATTGTCTTTCATTGAAATAATCATTCCTTCTCACTGTATTGAGAGAGTTTTCATAATGTTTCAGAGGTGGGGTATTCATTGTTGAATATTATATATTTTTTTTGTTCTTATCAGTTTGCTCTTTTCCTAAATAATTCAGATTCAAATTAAAATCTGTCTTCCTTCCATTAGTTCATGAGTTATATTTCAGAACACCATTTAATACTGGTAAGTTGCTTTTATTTTTTTTTTGTTTTTCTCTTTTTAAGAGAACCCTAAATGTATCTTACGTTCATTACACTTTCTGTCTTTGTCTAGTGAAATGAGCCATTTTGTATCCCATATTATTACATTAATTAGGTAAGTGTACTTTGTAATTAGTTGGTCACTTTAGATTAAAAAAAAACACCCACAAAAACAAAACAATGTAACTGTCTTGAGAGTGAAGGAGAACATTTGCTTGGCCATATAAACTAAAGTCACCAGTTCCAACTGGCATGTAAATGTGGTTTGAGTCTGCAGTCTTCGTTCAGTCGGCCCGCTGTGACATTTGCAGATGAGATGGAGAGACGGTGAAAATACTGATTGAGGATGAAGTGTCTTTTATCCACTCGTAACCACAGGTCACAACAAAGACACTGCGAATCAAGTTCAATCTCTTTCATTTCCTGTTCCACAGGAAATTGCCTCAGAGGAAGCTGATAGCTCACTGCTCACCGTAGTAATGTTATCTCTTCTTCTAGCTCCCTTTCATTAAAGAAACGGCAGCATTTTGTGCACTGACAAGCATGCGCTCATTCACCAAAACCCATAAACAATATGCATCTTTCCTCAAAGGTGGTCAAAAGGCAGTTTCCACAATTGCTCTCAATGCATTTTACTTACAATAATGTTTAAATAAATAATGTTGACATTTAGGTTCATATTTTATGAAAATTATTGCTCTAATCTCACTACCTTTTTCTTGCTTTCTATATTGAACTTGTTTCTAAATCCTGGCTCTGAAGGATAAACTGTACAAAGGCCTTTATATCTTACAAAAAATGATGGGTGCTGTTTGCGGTTATCAACCCCCACTTCACCGTCCAGCTGGAAAATGAAGCACCATTTACGGAAATCCAGAAATCTGGATTATTTTGCTCCAGATTCACTTCTACTAGAAGGTGAGATGAGCTTATCAACTTCAGTCACGGCTTGGACGTTTCGACATTCCCTAATGGAACAGCCATCCCCTCAAAAGCTAATATGAGCTATTGCCTACCCCGTGAGACAGTGGCCCTTCAACGTCATTCGTCACAATATATAATCCCAGCTCTGATACTGCCGGGGGAGGAGTGTCAGGTACTGTGGTACATGCAAAGAGCTCCCAGTGATCTCTGAAGGGGCAGCTTAAGAGGATATCGTCTGAGACAATAGTACCTTTGCCATATGAAATGCAGGGAAAGAAGACATCTCAAGAGACAGCAACTATGTCCTCTGAACTACAAACTAACCCGAAGGGGCCACAGACAGCCCCTAAATCACCAGTTGGGCTTCTTAGGAAGAGGGGTCAAGAAGCAATTCCTAAGATGCAACCCGCTATGATGATGTTCTCCAGCAAATACTGGGCTCGACGAGGTCTATCTTTGGATTCAGCAATGTATGATCAACAACACCTTGCAGCCTCCATGGTGAGTACTGAACCGTTTTGATGGCCCCTCTTTTGGGCGCCACATTCCATATAGTCAAATTGCCATAATATTTGTTCAAATTTTTGGGAATATATTAAATTATTGTAGTTTTTTGTGCTTTTTTTTAAGACAGTTACTTGCATAAGCCATTGGTTTACATTGGAAAACTGAATTAATGGCCATAGGTGATTCTGGATGCAGATGCAAATCTAATGAAATGTTTTATTACAAAATTCACTAGTTTACTGACTGAAAGCCAGGCCAGCTGGAACTGGGCACAGTGATATAATAAAAAAACAGAAGTCGCTCAAAGGCAGTTAAGGTCAAAGTGTAAATTCTCCTTTTTGAGGTTATAAATTACCACCCTTGTGTGCTTAACGTTTGAAATTACTTTTTTAAAAGAAATAAGCTTTTATCTTAACCAATTTCTGCATCCAAAGAGTTTTACATTCACTAAGTAACACCTCCGCACAGCTCCGCAGGACATCCTTTAATCGGATAGATGAAAGACCTGATAAAGAAGAACCAAAATCCACTCATGACCTTGGGAAATTAGCAGTAATTTTCTCTCTGAAGAATGAAGTGGGCTGTCTGGTGAAAGCGCTGAGACTCTTTCAGGTTAGTGAACACGTCATCTTTTGGTGGGGTAGATTAATAGCACACTTTAATAAGTATATCTAATGCATAATAATTTTAATAAACTTTTGATTGAAACCAAAGTGACATCCTGCCGTTGTATGTTTAAAGGAGAAGCATGTGAATTTGTCCCACATTGAGTCTCGGAGATCCAAGAGAGTCACCAATGAGGTGGAGATTTATGCAGAGTGTAACTGCACAAAGAAAGAGTTCAGTGAATTGGTGCAGCACCTGAAAGACCACGTCAACATTGTCTCATATAACACACCTCAACAAGTGTGGTCTGCAGAGACCGGTAAGCCTGAACTCAGTGAGCATAAGAATAGCCACTGTAATTATGTTCCAGCTTTGTGACAATGTTACTGATTCACCTGACTATTTATTCCAGACTGTTTGGACTATGTGTGTGTTTTGGGTGGGTTGCCAGATGGGGAAGGAATACCATGGTTTCCACAAAAGATCTCAGAGCTGGACCAATGCTCTCATAGAGTGCTAATGTATGGCTCAGAACTGGATGCTGACCATCCAGTACGTAAATCTGTTTAGTAACCAGTTACCAGTGAATAATAGTATATTTATAAACTTACTTTAATCTAGCTTAATGGATTCTGTAAAAATTGTTCATGATACCCAGTGCATTATCTAAGGTTAAAAATGAAACCTTATTGTAAAGTGATTCTTTGTTCTTTGTTGCAGGGCTTTAAAGACAAAGTGTATCGGGAGAGAAGGAAGTACTTTGTGGAAGTTGCAATGAACTACAAATTGTTAGTATGGATTATAATATAGTTTATATTCTTGTTTAATTGTTTTTGGGTTCTTGTAGCTCAATTGTTAACTAGTTAAAAATGCTACAATAGTTCAAAGCTGAAGCATAATACAGTTCCATAAATGGAAATTATATGAAATTCAAGTTAGAGTTTTACAGACTAACTGAAATGACAGAAATTGCTGAGTTTTCTTCCATTTCTTACATAATATGAATCAGAACATCTTTTTTTTTTAAATCTTTTCAGTGGGCAGCCCATCCCACGGATCAAGTACACACCAGAAGAAGTGAAGACATGGGGAGTAATTTTCAGAGAACTTACAAAACTCTATCCAACTCACGCCTGCCGCGAGTACTTAAAAAACCTCCCTCTTCTCACAAAGCATTGTGGATACAGGGAGGACAACATCCCACAGCTGGAAGATGTGTCTCGATTCTTACGTGGTAAAAAATGTGTCACGTCAAGTCACAGCCATGCAACTACTTTCTACTTGCATTATTAATTGCATTCATTCAGTTAAAAAGTCTACACTATTTAATCTGGAGGTTTTGATTGTGAACCTTGCAGAGAGGTCAGGTTTTACCGTACGACCTGTGGCTGGATATCTGTCACCACGAGACTTCCTGGCCGGTCTGGCTTATCGAGTGTTTAATTGCACTCAGTATATACGTCACAGCACTGATCCATTCTACACACCAGAACCGTGAGTATAAACCCCCACCAATAAATCTTTGGTAGAAAATGTAATTTTTCTTCATCACCTCTAACCTGTAAACTGTTTTCATGTCCTCAGGGACACCTGCCATGAACTGCTGGGTCACGTGGCGCTCCTGGCCGATCCCAAGTTTGCTCAGTTTTCTCAAGAGATTGGCCTTGCATCTCTAGGCGCTTCAGACAAGGATGTGCAGAAGCTGGCAACAGTAAGTGTGACAGCAGCTTATTGAATTCTTAAATGTCATCTGGAACTGGCAGGTTCCTAACATGACACCGAAATAAAAAGGTCACTGAAGTTTTTCATGGCATGAAGTTTGATCTATGGTGTTGAGTCACATGCATTTGCATTGAAATCAGATCACCGGCTCTGTATGGCGGACTTCAGTGAGACAATCAGATCTGGGTATAAGGTTTTTGGTTTCAATATGAGTGGGTATATCTCATAAGGGCCTGAAGGAACCTGTTGTAGATAATCTTGCTTCTAAACCTTTGCAATATATGCAACATGTTTATTGTGCAACGAACTGCTGTGCTTTTTTTCTGGCCGGTCTGGCTTATCGAGTGTTTAATTGCACTCAGTATATACGTCACAGCACTGATCCATTCTACACACCAGAACCGTGAGTATAAACCCCCACCAATAAATCTTTGGTAGAAAATGTAATTTTTCTTCATCACCTCTAACCTGTAAACTGTTTTCATGTCCTCAGGGACACCTGCCATGAACTGCTGGGTCACGTGGCGCTCCTGGCCGATCCCAAGTTTGCTCAGTTTTCTCAAGAGATTGGCCTTGCATCTCTAGGCGCTTCAGACAAGGATGTGCAGAAGCTGGCAACAGTAAGTGTGACAGCAGCTTATTGAATTCTTAAATGTCATCTGGAACTGGCAGGTTCCTAACATGACACCGAAATAAAAAGGTCACTGAAGTTTTTCATGGCATGAAGTTTGATCTATGGTGTTGAGTCACATGCATTTGCATTGAAATCAGATCACCGGCTCTGTATGGCGGACTTCAGTGAGACAATCAGATCTGGGTATAAGGTTTTTGGTTTCAATATGAGTGGGTATATCTCATAAGGGCCTGAAGGAACCTGTTGTAGATAATCTTGCTTCTAAACCTTTGCAATATATGCAACATGTTTATTGTGCAACGAACTGCTGTGCTTTTTTTTTCTAGTGCTATTTCTTCACAATTGAATTTGGACTGTGCAAACAAGACGGTCAGTTGAGAGCCTATGGAGCAGGTCTACTGTCTTCTATTGGAGAGTTGAGAGTATGAAGCCCTTTGTTAACTATATTTGAGCACCTCAAGCATTAAGATTTTATAGTTTATAAGTGAATGAATAATCTTTGATTATGCAGCATGCGTTATCTGACAAGGCAACAGTGAAGATGTTTGATCCC